CCTCGGGGGTCTTCGGTCATCTTCAAGCGCCCTTAGTCTTTCTCCTTGGGCGAAGATGAGATAGTTTGTCTGATTAATGGCCGCGAACAATGCCTGAGTCGTGGCATCTGCCCCAGCGGGAACTGGGACTTCATGGAACCGGGCAGCTCTGTAATGAGCGAGGGCCGCCGGGTCGTCTTCAAGTGGTGGTGGGAGCGGGGAGGATGATGCAGTAGCCCCGTCCCTGTAGGAGGAAGTTCCAGGGGAGGTCGTCACAGGAATGGTACTATGGCCGGGGTCGGCGGGGTTATCGAGGTGTCCATTTTTGTCCGCCGTGCCGTTATTGGTGTTGGCAACACGGACTTTCTGCTCATTGCGAGCTGGATCAGCCATGACAGGTAGTTGAATTGAGCTTTGGTCTTTTGAGTTGTTCGTAAGACGGGGAAGCTAGTTTCCCACAGACGGCGCCACTGATCGGACCTGATCAGAAATGGACCGTCACGGCTGGCTCCAAGCTGAAAGCTTTTTGAACGAGGTGGGGGGGTACCTGCAAGGCACTCCGATGCTGAAGTAAGTAGAAGCACGAGCAGGCAATAATAAGTGTATGGGTAGAATGATGAATACCTGACCCTCTGGAAACAGAGGGTAATTATAGCCCCCAGCGCTGGGCCAAGGTTCCTTCATTGGGCCGGGCAGGTTTGGCCCAATGGAGGAACTGCCAGGTTCTACGTGCGTAGTGGGGACCCGCACGCGGTCCCCTTCCTGGATGTTCTGCGTGAAGTGCGGGCGGACGGAGACGCGGTCTTTTCGGGGTCTCGTTGGGAGTGCAGTGGACTGAGTCTGCCCTAGTTGGGGTGCTCGAGGTGATGTCGAGCTGGACAGCAGGATGTCGAGCTGGAGATGTAGAGGTCGAGCACGTGACCTCAGGGAGCACGTCGGGCACGACTGTGACCCTTTGGTCGGCGTGGTCCTCAGCAAGTCCATTTGGATTGGGCCTTAGCAATGCTATTGGGCCTGTCGGGCCCAGTCCAGAACAATTGTAATTGGCATATTTTATTTATTTAATAAAAAAATTTATTATCATTTTGTAATTGTTAAATATTTATTCGAAGTATTAATTTATTTTCATATTTAATTGTTAAAGGTATAAACATAAAAATAATAAAATTTATTTAATAAAAAATATTTGTAATTAATATAAACATTAAATAATACATTTTATTTAATAAAAAGTATTTGTAATTAATATAAACATTATATAATAAAGTTTATTTAATAAAAAGTATTTTGTTAATTAATATAAATATTAAATAATAAAAGTTATTAAAATAAATAATTAAAAATTCAGAAAAACGAAGAAAAAAAAATATAAAACCCCTTCACGCCATTTGAAATGGCGTGAGCCCTTCCTGCTCACCTTTGCGCCATCTCAAATGGCGTGAACCCCTCTTGAGTGTGGCATTTTGAGAAATAATTTTCAGGGTGTGGCATTTTAGGATTTCTGTTTCAGGGGTGTGGCATTTTGAGAAAAAATTCTGGATATGGGTGTGAACGTGAACGTGTCCGTTTTGAATTTGTTTAGTATTAATCACTTAATTATTTCCAGAGACACTCAAATTATTATTATTTATTTCCAAATCATTTGGAGCATTATTGGCCATAATTACTGTATCACAATCTGTTCCTGCCGTTTTGAAAGAATCATTCACCTGTGTAGGATTTCCAGTCTCACCATGCTGCGTTCTACTCACACGCGCCAAATTTTCATCTGCTTGATTATTTTTTCCTTTGTTTGTAGGATTTTATTTTCTAAGCCACTTAGAAGAAGGACCACCATTTCTTCTATTTTCAGCCCGAATCTCATTTGACCAACCGCGAACTCCGTTATCTTCTGTCATATCGAACTGGATTTCACATCTTTGCTCAGTGTGGCCCAATATTCCGCAGACAAAATAAAATATACTTAGCTTCTTATACTTAAAGTTTACCACACACCACTTGCCTCCCTTGTTCTTAACTTTAGTATTTTGTTTCAATGGTTTTCGCACATAAATTTTAACACGAACTCTCATATACTGGCGCCAAAAACTAGTATTATTTTTCTTATCGTATTCCACGAAAATACCTATGTAGTTGGTCATTGTCTTCCCTACCTTTTCCAACATAAGGCCCGCCGGAAGGTTATAAATTTTCACCTAAAAATCAACATGATACAATGGGATATGGTCAATTTGAACTCCTAATTTGACCCTTTTCAATATCATCAAGTGACTATCGTAAGTCCAAGGCCCTACGTTTAGGACCACCTCCATATTGAGCTTATGTTCAAACTGAAACAAGAACAAGCCACTTGTTGCTTCTTTGGTCGCTACTCCCTTCACAGATCTCTAGATGTCTGCCACTCAACTCATCATAGATTTCACATGAACAAGTTTATCACACAAAAAACGACCAACAAGACACAACTTTAAATCTGCTACGTCGCTACTTTCTTCCTTCAGATTGAAACAAAAACATTCCTCTTCACCGTCATCATTGATTGATAAATTACTAAAGCTCAGAGTTGTCATACCTCTCTGCAAAAATAGACGCTAAAACCAAAAGAATCAGAAAAAGATAAAAACTAAGATTCTCAAAAGAGAAATATTCAAACCCTATCAGAGTCTAGAGAGAAGTATCTTGAAAAAGTAAACTATTATTATTTTTTTGTCTTTATGTTAAAATCATTAAATAGTTTTTTGTTTTAAATTTTGAGTGAAGCATGTACCATAAAGTTTTTCTTTAGGTTGAAATTTAAAAAAAAATTGTTACTTAAAAGAAATTTATGTATAGTGTATTGTAATGAGTTATTAAAATGTTAAAATTGATCTAAATTTAAAATTAAAAAATAAACCTTTGTTCTACTTACAAAAGTGAATAATTGTATACCATATTATTTCACATAAAATATTCTTCATTGGTATTAAATAAAAATGATAATACGGTGATTATTGATTTGATTTTATAAGTAAATATGTATAATGATACAAATAAAATTTCGATTAGATTAATCACGAATAATTTATTTTATTTAATATCATTAATATTGAATAAAACATTTGATAAGAATATTTAATATAATTGATATTAAACCAAAATATTAATTAATAATTATTGATAAGATTTTTTTAATAATATATATTCATGTAGTGTTTATTTGTAAATAAAACTTCACATTAAAAAAACTAAAATTAAATTTTGACATTGAAATAAAATAGAAAATACTTCTATAAAATGACAAAATATAATAGCATTCTACCCAAAGTTTTGAATAAAATACACTTTAAATATTTTTCTAAGCATAGAAGTTTATAGAATAAAATTGTATCTATTATTTTTAGCCTGAAGTATTTAAAGATTCCTGTTTTTATGTTCCCATCTTTTTTATTTTTCTTTTTCTATTCAATAATTTGTATTTATTAAAAAAGATAAAATACAATTAATATATCATTAATTTTTAAATTTAAAATTTAATTTAAAGTATTAAAGAAATCCCACAATTAAATAACTCCCGTCATATATTTCAATCCTAAAGAACACCAACAACTAAATGCATACACCACAAATATATTTCTGGAAAAAAAATACGTATCTCCTTTTTTATTTGAACCTTAAAGTTATATATGCCATGTAAAAATTAATATTCTATAGGTTAGAAATACAAATTGAATGTAAATATTAACTCACGTTATAATTATGATATATATATATAGAGAGAGAGAGAGAAAATTATATATTTATTACATTTTTATTAAAAAAAAATATAAATCACACTTAAAAAATGTAGCTAAATTTTTTCTTATACTTTTTTACATCTTTAATTATAATTTTATGTATAAAACAATTAATATCTTTCTAAATTTTATATATAATATATTTATTTTGAAATAAATTATGTGTTCTTTTAAGTATGAAGTTGCGTGTGATTACTAAACTTGTAGGTGGGGTCACCAATTTAGTAATTCATTAATAGCCTGTTTGTTTTACCTTTTGAAGAATTTTTTTTAAAATGATTTATATAATAACTTTTAAAAAATACTAAAAGTTTTTTAAACTCATTTATAAAAATTAAAAGACTAATATAATATTTAATAACATAAATATCTATTATTTAAGTAAAACATTGTGAAAATCACATAATTTTTTATAAAAATTTATTTAAAATATCTTAAGAGTTAGGTTATGTTTTAAAATTTTAATATAAAAAAAATCAAATCAAATTATTTTTACTATGGATTTTCAACGTATTAAGAAAAACAATTAAAAATAACTTTTTATTTGAAAATTTAAAAAATTATAAATTTTATTTACAAAAATATGTTTCACTATAAAATCAAATGTGCATTAAATCTTAAATAAAAATGATTTTGAATTTTTAATATTTTAAAATAGAAAACAACAAAAAAATTTCATATAAATATTATCAAAATTTATTCTAACTCTATAAATACGCGTTATTCCATTAATTCTCTTACTACATATAAAAAGAATTACCATTGAAATTTCTAATCACTCATGCAGTATTTATAAAACAAATCTAAAAGTAATTTTTTTATTGTCACATATGACATTTATTGAGATTTTTTAAGCATTATAGCTCATATATTTTACTTAGTGGTTTATATTTTGAGAAGGTACTTCGTTTTTTTAGTATCTCATATATATATCAAAATTATAAAAACAACATTGATATAAAACAAAGTGAACCTAAAAGAACATGTCATACATTTAAATTTATAAAAGTATATTTAAAAGTCTCTTTTAAGAAATTTACCATCTTTACAAGGGAATGTGTCCTTGTAATAGATTATTTCAAAATTAATTAAAATAAGATCCTACAAGAAGTTATATGAGAATTAGATATATAAAAATGATTGATTTTGATTGCAATGTTACTGTGTATCAACAAGTAGTAACTGTTAATTAAATAAGAAGTGTTAATTTAGTCTGTTGTAAAGTTTGATATATAGTTAATAATAAATATGAAAAGTGATTCTTTCTATTCTTATGTGTTCTGTCTCATTATTATTGTGAAATTCTATAACACTACCCATACTGTTCCATCAAACCAGATTCATTGGTACTCAAACCTAACTCTCTCACCCATAATTTCTCCCTCTAGACACACATATTCTCCGCATTTTAGAGGAAATTGTAAACCTCTATATATTTGTCACCATTTACCATCCTTATCCAATACATTGCAAATGGGATACCTTTTAACATCAATGATTGAAAAAAGTTGTGGAATCACAACTAAGGAGCATTTTGAGTTGGTTGTGGTTGACAATCAAATGAGTTAAAGTGTGGTTACCCGTGATTTTGATTTTGTTTGATTTTGTTATACATGTGTTGTACTAAATCCTTTAATCGTTTAACTATGTTGTTCTATGCTATATGATATTTAGACCTACAATGTGTTTCATTTTTTTTTATGATATTGTTTTGGGAAAAGTGTTTAATGAGTTAGACGTGTGAATATTAGGGTTTCAAAGTGCGCGAATCGGTGGACATGCTTTCAGCCACTGTCATAGGAGAAGACCCTCCTTCTTGTTTATCACCTCTCTTTTATTTTGGATCGGTTTTCTTAGAAAGTTAGGGTTTTGATTTTGTGTTTGATTTGATGATTTTGTGGTTAGTTTTTAAGGATATAAGCAAGCATTTCCTATTTCTTCAGGTATGACTCCCATTAATTGGTTTTCATAACGGTTCAAGTTGGTAAAATTCCATAATATGTATTTTTAACAAGATTAACAATCACGAGTTTTTGGCAATTTTACAATTATGTAGATGACATATTGTTTGTCGCTGTGTTTGACAGTTTGAACACAATTTGTAAGAAGGATCTCGAAGTTGTGGCGAGTCCGTAGAGTGACTGTTTGCATCTGACACTTATTTGAGCACGGCTTGCATCCGAGAGAAGAGAGATAGCCAACAAGCTTTATGGCCATCCAGAAGATATTGACAATTATGTGCAATAGTTGATATTCTTAGTGGCTTTGAGTAACATTGGCCATGCTGTAGGTAATAAGCTTCATTTAGATATAAGCTCTTTTATTCCATTTTAATCAATGTTGCAGACCAATAGTGTTTCATGTTCTTATGTGATTTCGGGTTATACTAATGTTGGAAGTTATATACAAAGTTTGTATGGTAGATTGGTTTTGTCGGTGTTTATGTTAGACTGGTTTTGTCGGTCTTTATGATACAATATTTCTCATCTATGATAGTTCTTTTTGGAATGGTCGGAGATAAATTGTTGAAGCAGCTGCTGCAGAATAATCCATTGTAGATACAGAGTTTCATGGAGGCCGATGATGCTCTCAAACTTGGTTGATTCACGCAGGCCGAACGCCAGAGAGAGGTTCTGAATCTATATTCAATTAAATTTTGTACACAGTTTTTCTTCTTTGTTACTTTTTATTTCTAAGTGATTCTGAACATGCAAAATACAATTGCATTTGGCAAAGATGGAAGCGGTGAGAGAAGGGATGCCTGTTGTGTGTGTAAAGCATGGGAGGGGTGGTGGACAGACTGTGGAGGATATTCATATGGATAATTTCACTTTCTCTGTTGTATCATATGATCTCATAGTTGATGGTTCTGTTACACTCTCTTTTGGCGGACATTTTAGTGAAGTTTACTATCTTCTTTTTCTCTTTACTCTGCAGTGTGAACTTAGAGAGATATTTGGCAATCCATGATACGGGCTATGCTTCGAGATGTTTTTGGCGACGATAGAGGGCAGGTATATTCATTTATCATTCAAGAACTACTTTGTGTAGCGTGTTTATATAATAGAGAAAACTACAATGATATTTTTACTTTGCTACTGAAGTAGGTCACAAAAGAATATAAAGACTTCAGCTTCAAACTTGCAATGCATTTCACATCTAAAGGTGGAAAGAAAGGTAAGAAAGGGAAAAAGGTTAGCGCTGCAGTTTTCAGATTCAATGTCGTAACATGTTGTTTAAATTGTGCTATGAGACGAATGTAAATAGTACTGCCAAGCTGAAAGTTTGAAGAGTGCCTTAATCAGGCTGGTTTTACTACTGCTGTTGATTTAAATCGCAACCCCGCTATTGAATTTTCTGTGACGATTGGCACTCCTGACATTGATTTTTCTGTTATATAATAAGTTTACCTTCAGTTGCTATCTCAAGCTATGGCTTATATTTTTTCTGTTATATAAGTTCAGGTGACAGTGATTTTGCCGGGGAAACAGTACTCCTGAAAAGTTCAAAATATTGGCTAGCCATTTAGAACTCTCTTGGAATAGCTTGCAGCTATAACACCAGTACTTGAACAGTTATGGGAACACACCCTTGATTCAATCCAGGGTTATCAAACAAACTAAATTAGTGTAATATAAGACACATGCAAATATAAATAGAATAAAATGTGCCTCCATAAAACTTAAAACTTGAAAGCAAACATCAAATTTAGCATTATAGGACAATCACTAAATCAGTGATATATAAGGCAGATAGATATTAAATTGGAAATTTCATTAAGCAAACAACAATTACTTATTTTCCATTATTTCTTGATTTCATTTTTCTCTGTTTACGTAATCAGGTTGCATTTTCTCTCCAAAACACTTGAATAATGGAGCTTGGAGCATGAAAATATTGTCAGTACTTGACGAATTTTGAGTTTCAATGTGGAGAATTTCTTAATGTTAACGTAATCATATACGTGTCCACACGACAATTAGTTTGTTAAAATTTTAACTTTTTAAAGCATTTTATAAATTTATGGCAGGTCTGAGAGTACTCGAATGCCGGTAATTGGCTGCACTGAGAGTACTCCTAGCAAGTGATATGGAAACCGTACAGAAGTATGACCTCAACACACTTAAGTCTTTAGATGCTGAGGTTCCACTTGATCTCAACCTGCTACTCAACCTGAATGCTCAACTTCAAATGCATAACCTGATGCTAGGCCTAGACGCACAACATCAACTGTGCAACCTGAATGCTCAACATCAACCACACAACATGATGCTCATCCTGGATGCTCAACATCAACCGCGCAACCTGATGCTTAGCCTGAGTGCTCAACTTCAACTGTTCAATCCGGAGGTTCAACATGAGTTGCGCAACCTGAAGCTCAACCTAGACACTCAAGTTCAACTATGAGTTTGAACTCTTTTTTTAATGATGGGAAATTTTTATGGACATGGTTTTTGAAAGCATTTTGAGTAGCTTTCTTCAAAGCTGTTGCGGAACTTTTTCTCTTTTTTGAATCTATTACAAGTGTTCGTAAGTACATAGCTTCTGAATTTCTTCTTCTATATAACTTCATATATACCACTGCTAGCTTTTTGGTTAAATGTTACACTTTTGGTCTCTCATAGTTTGTCTCAATTTGTGTGCTCTTTTTTTAAGATAGAAAAAGAAACATTTTACTTAGGTGTGAAAATGAACCATAATTTTGATAATATAAGAACTGAAATGTTTACTAGACAAATCATTGAATCATTGCAACTGGATTTGGCTTCTGGTTGGCTGGAGTTAGAGGAAGCTACTGATTGTGTTGTTGTGATTTTTGGTGGGGCATCAGTTTAATAAAATCTAGAACCATAACAGCTTTGGGAATGTTACACAGAATGTGCTGCTGGCGGAAGCAGAGCTTAATTCTTTACAGGAAAATCAGTTGGGGACATGCAATCATTATAACAGTTTGGAGAAAGAGGACATGCAATCATTATAACAGTTTGGAGAAAGATGCGCAAGATAGGCTTACTCTCGCCCTGGATATTGAGGAGAGTTTTTGGAAATAAAAAGCAAGGATTAAGAGGCACCTTGAGGGAGATCTCAATACGACTTATTTTCATCGAATTTCTAAAATCCGTAATGCTTTCAAACCTATTTCTATTCTTAGAAATAGGGAGGAAATCATTACGGATCCGGCTATTATTGCGCTGCATACAGTGGAATATTTCAAAAATCTTTTTTCTACAAATGATTCTTTTTTGCAGGATGGTTCTTTGGTGGAGGGAATTATTCCTAGTTCGGTGAATTTTGAGACAGATGAGATGCTTACTCCTCTTCTCTCTTTGGAGGAAATCAAAGTTGTTGTCTTCTCTCTTAATAATGATAGTGTCCCTGGTCCGGACGGTTTCAGAGCTTCTTTCTATCAAATCTATCGGAATATTATCAAGCTTGAGGTTTCAGAGGTGGTCATTCATTTTTTTCTCTTCTGGGTGGTTACCTCATGACTTCAATTCGAATGTGCTAGTGCTTATTCCAAAGACCGACAGTGTGGATTCCTTGAATCTCTTCTGGCCCATAAATTTTTTTTAATTTCAAGTTCAAGATTATTTCTAAAATTATTGCGGTCAGGCTTGCAGCTATTTTACCTCTATTGGTCTCTCAAGAGCAAAGAAGGTTCATTCACAGAAGGAACATTAAAGATTGTATTGCTTTAGCTTCAGAGGCTTTCAATCTCATCGACTCCAACTCTTGGGACTTTCTCCTCAAGGTCTTGAAGAACTTTGGTTTCAATGATAGATTCTGTCAAAGGATTTCCTGTATTTTGAATTCTACCTGGGTGTCTATTTCGGTTAATGGAGCACTTCACGGTTTCTTTTAAATGCTCTAGGGGTGTCAGACAAGGGGACCCCCTTTCCCCGCTCCTTTTCTGTCCTGCAGAAGATATGCTCAACAGACTTATTAGCAGCATGGTCACTTCCGGTTTGCTTGCTTTGATCAAAGGCCCTAGAAATGTTCAAGTTCTTGCTCATATTTTATACGCGAATGATGTGATTATCTTTTGCAAAGAGAGTATTGCCAATATTAAAACTCTAGTTTTGGTTTTCAGATCTTATGCGGTTGCATCTGGTCAAGTTGTAAACTGTAGTAAATATTTTATTTATGGAGGGGCTACGACAGCAGCTCGTCTCAACATTCTCAGATTTATCTGGTTTCAATATTGGTCTCTCTTCCTTCATGTACCTCAGAGTCTCTATTTTCAAAGAAAAGCCTATAACTAAGTTTCTTCTTCTTATTGTTGACAAAACTATCCTCAAGCTCGCTTCTTGGAAAGTTTCTCTTCTCTCATTTGCGGGAATAGTGGAATTGGTCAAATCCTCTATCCAGAGTATGCTCATTCATTCTATGTCTGTTTACGAGTGGTCGGTCTCGTTGTTAAGGAAAATTGAGAAAGCTTCCCGCAACTTTATTTAGAGTGGTAATGTGTTGATTAATAAATCAGTCACTGTGGCTTGGAAGAAAATCTGCAAGCCTATTCCCGAAGGTGGCCTAGGCACTCGATCTTTGCTTGATCTTAATGCAACATCAAAATTAAAGCTTGCTTGGGATTTCTTCAATTATGATGAGGCTTGGGCCATTCTCGCTAGATGTCGGGTTTTGCGTAGAAATAATTTCATAAAGCCTCGTATTAATTTTTCGATTTGGTCTAGTATTAGAGCTGAGATACTGGTTATCCGAGATAATTCCTCTTGGTTGCTTGGTAACAATACCTCAATTGAATTTTGGATAGACTCTTGGTGCAGCGATCCGCTTTACTTAGAGGTGGGGAATATTTCGGTGCAAGAAGATTTACTGGTCAGCTCCTTCATTGTGAATAATTCCTGGGATTTCTCGGCTGCTGCTGGAACTGTTTCGATTTTGATTAAGGTCAGAATTCTCAATTGCCACATCCCATTTAATCTTTGTCCTGATAAGCGTATTTGGAATTGCACTCCTTCGAGGGATCTCTCTCTTAAGGCGGCCTACAATTTCAAGAGGAACCCAAGAGTTTGTTTCGACAAGTATAGGTGGGTTTGGACAAAATATATCCCTCCTTCTAAATCGTTTATGGTTTGAAGATTGTTGCTTCATAAGATTCCTATGGACAAGATTCTTAAGCGTAGGAGTTTTGCCTTCCCGTCTATTTGTAGTTTGTGTTCCGCGGTCGAGGAGACATCTTTGCACATTTTCTTTGTGTGCCCTTTTGCTAGATTCTTTGGAGTTGGCTAGGGAGCATTTTGAATATTAGTTCCCAGCTTTCTGATTGGGAAGATATTTGGGTGGTTTGCAAGTGGAACTGGTCGGACCAGTGTAAGCTAATTTTCAATGTTGCGGTTATTCATCTTTTCAATGACATTTGGTTTGCTCGCAACCAGTTCAGATTCCAAAATGTTCATATTTCCTACTCTTCTACTATTGATGGTATTGTTTCGGTTTGTGGTGAAATTCTTGTATATCAGACTTCAGATGTCCTATGACATGTTGGGACATCTGATTTGACTTAAACAACACAGGTAAGGTATAAACATATAAAACAATAGTGAAAAGTAAAATAACACACATAATTGTTAATCCAGTTCGGTGACAACAACACCTACTATGGAGGCTATTAAGCCAGAAAGAAAATTCACTATGATAACATCAATTCATAGATCCTACAATAAACATACCAGTTTACGATCTACTCACTTAATCACTACCATGTGCAACTTCTACCTAGGTCCTCCCTAAATATGAGAAATTCCATCTCACCTCCAATCACTGCAATGATGTCTAACAGTCTCAGTCCCAGTTACTATATCAACGACCTTTCACCTGAATGAAGATCCCACTTCAAATACAAAAAAACACCTTAATCAAGACACCCATTGATTAAGAACAACATACTTGATCTTGCTTCACAACTTTGATCAAGAACAACACTTAGAGTTGCTTAAAAGCTTAGAGGAGAACAATAACAGAGATTATAACTCTGTAACACAGTCCAACTCACAACCCGAGTGGATCACATAAACCAACTCTCCTAGAGAGAGGCACATTGACAAAGCCCTAATGATTCTACATCCTGGACCCGTACTAAACTAGGTTACAAACACTTCTATTTATAAACCTTTTCCTAACTGGATTTGGGCTTCAAAAACGTAGCAGAGAGGCTGCACAAACTCTACAAAAACTTCTCCAAGAAAATATGTCTTCAATCATAAATTTCCTAAAATGTCTCCATATTTAGAAAGTTTGAATAACTTGAAAAACCAACATAATATCTCTGATTTATCAATCTTGGACGCCACATAGGGTTACTAAATATTCCTAGAATATTCAGTAATTAAATCACAACAACTGAATCCAAACTGTCAGTTGTGGTAGACATGATGTCCTATACTTCTGGTTAGGACATCCCTTTCGACATATTCAAACAACAAGTTGAAACATCTTCCAAACTGCAAAACTGTAACAAATTGTATGTCTTATAATTTTGGTTAGGACATTATATTCAACATGTTGAATCTGCAAGTTGAAACATCTTATTCAATATGTTACTGCAAAGTTAGTTTTACCAAAATTCATGTTAATCATAATTTAAGAGAAATAACAATCTCCCCCTTTGGAAAACTTTGACTAAAACAATCGAATAACCATTGCACAAGAAAACACCATAATCATGCTTGAAAGTAAATCAAACACACACATCGGAGGCATAGAAGCAGAAAAACATAACAAGAGAGTTATGAGCAACAACAAAAACAAAGAAACTATTAGTAGTTAGCCAGTCTACTAAACACAACTGCAACAAATAGAGAAACTAAATTCTAAACACCATGATGTCAAGATATCATGTCAGACATCTCTTCAGAGCATCCCAATTTAGAACAACAGAGACTCCCCCTTAACACCTGCTAACTACTTTAGAGAATAAAAAATTCTCTTCCTCAATAGCAGCCAACAATCACAGTTAGTGCACACACACTTCTCCCCCCTTTTTAGCCATAATATGACAAAGGAGGCAACTAATCAAAAACAAAACACAATAGCACATTAGCACATTAGCACATTAAGTTAATACTAATGCAGAACCAAAAAGAGCACAGATGTAGCATTCATGCTCAACATTATCAACATCATCAACTTCCTACTTTTCTCATTCTTCATCCGCCAAGACATCTATTTAGTCTTACTTCTCCCATTCACAAATACTGTCTCTCAGAGAACACCTAAGAGGCATGTGTACACCTGCTATAATCATCCAGCTTCTCATGGCTAGAACCAACCATGCCTTGTCAAGAGCACCAACAACTACATCCAGTAGCCTAATGTCATAACATATTGTCTAACATCATATAAAATCTGCACCACTGCATCAACAATCCACAAACAAGTAATTTACTCCCCCTGCTGAACACACACAATCCTGGATACTCTAGCTCCTTGAGGATACACACAAAATATCATGACTCTTTGTATAAGAAGAAGTCATGCACACTTGTTTTGAAGTTTCTCATATACTCCCAAACAACTGTATTTAGATAGCTTGCTCCACAAGATCCAGATTCACACAAACTCTTCTTGTAGTAGAATACGCCACCTCCTCAACAAGCATTATGATCAAATTATACTATCTAACACCCTTTTTCTTCTTTATCAGCATCAGCACAAAGCATATTCAATATCTGATGTAACAAGATTAACAACATCCTTACCCTAGTCAGCAAGGTCTTCACCTGGGATGATGTCACAACAATGTTTGGAACATATTTCCCTCTAAACAAATGGTAATGCAAAGACAAGGAGATTCCCTTTTCTTAACAATAGTCAATAAAATACCACGATGTAGATGGTATAATGAAGAATTTATTGACAACAATAGCAGTATCAGTGATTTCTATAAGTCCTCATAGATATATGTAATACGGTGGGAGAACTGACTTTTGGTTTTACGTTTTATCGCAAATATTGCGGATAACAAGAGTCGCCACCGACTTTTATTTTATCCAATAAAGGAAAAGGTGAAAAGAACAGGAAAGACCTTCGATATTTTTCTGTGTTCGGGGGATAGGTTATTAAAAGGGAAGGTGTTAGCACCCATTTCATCCGTAGTTATCTACGGACTCTTAACCGCTAGCTCACTTTTGAAAATTCTTTGTGTGTTTGAAAATATTTTGAAAAGGCCTAAGTACGACAATTTTGTAATGATTCTCATATCGTTGAGAATGCATGCAAAATGTTTATTTTGAAAATATTTATTGGAAAAGTGTTGTTTTATGAAAAGTGTTTTGAAGATGCCAATGTAAGGCAATCTTCTTTATAATAACCCTCGTATCAGTCCTCAAGAGTGTTTATAAAGTGTTTGAAAGTAGTTGTTTTTGAAAGTGTGAGATGTGGAAATTGTTTTAGTTTGTGAGCAAGCGATCACGAGCGATCTACCTACTAAAAGAGTCTTTGTTCTTTTCCCCCTTCTTTAGATAGTGTTATCCTATCATTAGTTAGTAGGAAGCCCTATCGTTGGATGTGAGGAACAGGCGTGGGTCATCGTATAGTCATAGAAGGAAACTTGTAGGGTGCTTTAGCAATTTATCATAAGGGACTCAGATCGTTTACCGAAGGCAGCATCGAAGGGTCATCGAGGGACTACAATCTTTTAACTGAGGATCTTTGCTAAAGCGCCACACGTTCGAGGGACATGACTGTTTTATCCAAAGGCAACAAGTGAGGTTATCCTAGAGGTGTGTGTGTGAAAAGTGATTCAATTCAGTTTATTTATCTTATATTTAGGGTTATCTAATGGTTGATTTTAGATCTTATCAAACATGCCTAGTTACTATAGAGTTATAAGGGAAGTAGTAGAGACAAAATTTAAAGGGTCCTACGCTATTACAAAGCTTCGGGGAAGGGGATACAAATAGTAAAAACAGGGAAAAAGTAAAAGCCTAATTAAACTATTACAAACCATAAGTAGTTACAATAATAGAAAAATACGAAAATAGTAAACCACGCGAAAATAAAAGGAAAAGGAAATGAAATTCTAATTCTAATTTTTTTGGAATTTTTTATCATGTTAAAAAAAGATTAAAACTAAAAAGAGATTAAAGCCTATTATAATATTTGGTATATATATATATATATATATATATATATATATATATATATATATATATATATATATATATATATATAATATATATATATATATATATATATATATATATATATATATATATATATATATATATATATATATATATAT